AAAAAAAAATTTGTCCTTTTGTCGCATTTTTTGACTCTTTTTCGTTTGACCCTGTGTCGTTTGACCCTTTGTCGCGTTTTTGACCCCTTGACGTTTGACCCTGTGTCGTTTGACCCTTTGTCGTTTGACCCTGGGTCGTTTGACCCTTTGTCGGTGAATCGCGAAAAGCCACTTGTTAACCCTGTGATTTTTTTTTGATAATTCATGTTTAAAAGTATTTACGTAGCTTTTTTAATTAAAGTTTGAAGAAGAAGAAATTATTGATTACACTATTTCAGACCACTCAAATTTATTATATTGTACTCTTTCATAAGCATATACATGGGGGTGCTTTTGGGACTAAGTGGTTTCATGGATAAATGGGTGCTGAGGCCATGGGGTAAAATATGTATTCCCAAAAATAAAACCTGCCAACGCCGGCCTGTTTTCCTTCATGCATCCATAACTTTGAATCGGTGATTCTGGATTTGAACCGGCGGAAGGTAGTTAAGCGACCCAGCTCAAATTCATTAAATTCAGTCCCTGAATATCTCATATTTAGTATCCCGTGAAATGATAGAATCAAGTGAGGATGAAGAGGAGGATCCTGAAATCTGTCCAGTGTGTTCAGAAAAAAATGATCCCACGAATCCAGGGGTAGGTATTGTGAAGGCTTAATATTACCAACAATGATACTTATAATTGTGCAAAGACAGTGACTCTTAAACATTCTTTTAAAAACAGTGCCATAAAGGGACGGGCAAAGGGAGGCAAAAAAAAGAGAAATTGCGGACGCGCAGATGGAGAAAGGAGAAAAAATATAAACATTAGAAATTATTAACTATGCCTCGCACCATTTTATTTACAAAAATCGCAAAAAATAAATTGTAAAACATTGTTATACAAATTTTAAACACTACAACTAGTAAATATCCTCTCACTAGTCCTTAACAATGGTCTATCTTATGTTTCTGTAAAATACTAATCGCAGATTATGTAAATCCATGGATCTCATGCAACTAGTCCTCATATAATTAATCTACCTTGTTTTAAACACATTTCGCCAACAATTTAAAACAAGATAATACTGTTACTTAATGGTGAATCGCCTAATCATTTTATTTTTCCAATTTTTGTATTTTTGGCAATTCCTTCTGACCTCCGTCACAGTTTCTGCTTCTGATCTTTTCTACTTGTACTTTACTTTAGACTAAAACCTTAAAATGTACATTGTAAGCATTTTTTTCATAGTTCTACACTCTACAGTCTATCATTACTGCTCATGTTTAAAACACCTCTCGTTAACACTCCAAAACGAGACCCCATTGGCTACTTAATTTGTTTTTATTGTTCCTATTTTCTATTTATTCATGTACGTTATTCGCATCTCGTGTTGTTGTTTTTTATATTTTTTCGGATCACCGTCTAAGATTCTGCTTTTGTTGCAATTGGTCTTTATTTGAACTGAAAAGTGAAAGCATATCGCTACGAGCCCTCATTAAATGTTGTTAGCCCATTTTACTGTCATTACTGAATTTACTTAACTTCAAAATAAAAATGAAAATTGTGTCATTTACCAAATCTCTAAGATTTCCACATAAATAAACAGATGCTCCATGTAAAATATTAAAATCAAAATGTACATATCTTTGATATATATATATATATAAAGTTTACTTGTTGTTTTTGTACTTTTGATCTATAAAAAGATTTGAATAATAAAAAATTGTTATACAAATTAACTTACTATATTTAGGATAAGAAGAACAGAATGATCGGCTGTGACAGCTGTGACAAGGTACCCCCCGCCCCTCACGACTCTTACCCTTAATACCATCCTAATAAAATAAACGTACATATTACATAAGGCAAGCTGTTGTCATATAAGTACTGCGAACTGAACAAGAAACATCTGTTAATATTTAATTTTTACGCAATTATAGTTAATTACCTAATTTGAACTAATTTGAAATGAAATCTGAAAAAGAGGCCCCGCTATGTACCCCCCAGACCTAAAGCAGTTTCTTTAGTTAAAAAATAAAATCTTGTTCCCTGAATTGGTTGTTATTTGCTTTTTTGTTCAAAATTCCAATCGTTGAAATTGTGGAAATATTTTAAATAAGTTTTAAAAAATGACAGCAAACCAAATCGGGAAGAAAAATCAAACCTAAGTAAAGATACTAGGTCAGTCATTCCTTTACAAAAACACGATTTGGATTTTTTTTTCGCTGGAAATAAAAAAATTAAGTTTTGTAGGGAAAATAATAAATTCATTTTTGGGTGAAAGTATGATTAAGGTGATGTCTGTTCAACTTTTCATCCCCCCCCCCCCCCAAGTCTTCGAAATGAATATTTGCTTTAAAATTTAAATCCCTGTGAAGAAAATGCAGTGCAGTGTACGCCAATTAGCCTAATTTTTTAATGATGTTTAGTGGTATCATTGGAGCTGTGTTGGTATTGATCACGAGAATAAGCCGGGAAAGGTAATCCTTCTTTTATAACCCATTCTGTTGCGGATCTTGATTCCGTAGGACTTGAGAAGGAAATGGATTCTAATCTGGATCCGGCTTCTTGTTATTTCTAAAAGCTTTGCTAATTTCCCTAACTAAAATTAGGTTTCAACACTTTTGCTAAGCATTATTTAAAATCTTTTTTTTTGAGGTTATTCTGTTTGATATTTTTTTCCAGTATTGTTTTGGATCCACTGGGTCCTAGAAATCCATTAAGGGGCATGTCGATGTACTTTCAAATCATAGCCTCCATTAAAAGAGTAGCATTCCATAATATTCAGAATTATATTAATGATGTTTCTACATGTGACAAGGGAAGAAATTTTCAAGAAATAAAATGACGATACGATATCTCTTTATTGTTTAAATAAAAGATTATAGGGTACCTTTGTAAATCAGACATGCCACTTATTTTTAAAATAAAGTAACACTTACAATTACGTGAACAATCTCTTAAAACAGGACGACGACTGGTATTGTCGTAAGTGTACTGCAAGGCGAGGAGAGGCTGGTGAATGGAAACCTGAGAAGGGTGAACAAGGATTACTGGATATTCTACCGATTAGAGAGAGTACACGGGTCTCAAGTCCACAGGGTACACCGAATCATCAGGTACAAGTACAACAAGTACACCAAGGGTGATTTTTTTGGATAAATATTATTAATACCACTTTTCTGAAACAATTTTTTTTCTCATTTAATATTTTTTTATGTTTAGTATTTATAAATATAACTGTTGAAATAAGATCCTGAAAACTAAAGTTAGAATGTCAAATGAGTGTACTTTTTAGTTATTTGGTTCGTTTGAGGTATGATATATATGATTTCAATGATGTACGAGGATTTAAGAATTAAGATCATATTTTTCCTGGTTTTAGTTTATCCATAGAGTTCAAATCGTCAAAAAATCTTAAATAATTTGTTGTTCAGAAGAACGGAGGCCGTGGAAGAGGACGTGGCAGAGGTCGAGGGACTCCAAGTCGACCTCCAAATCATTTTTCAACCTCCAGACATAAGCTGACACCATCAGTAACATCCTCGGAGAAGAAAATAATTGTAAGTTTGTTAGAAAATAAAAATAATTATTTACGAATACATAAACATTAAAGTTTTGGGAAGACTTGGGGAAATGGAAATTCTTGATAATGTAAAATATTATTTTTCAAAAGTTGATATATACAATGTTATCGAATTTTGATATGCAATTTCGCGATTTTGTTTACGAAACTTTGCAAACCCCGGTTGTTATTTCACTGAATTTAATGTTTTCTTTTAAAACAAAGTTGTTGTTTGGTTTTGAATAAAATTTTAAAATATTAGATACATTTTGCAAGTTTCAGAGACAGCAAATTCTCCCCAGTAAGGACGAGAAACGTCCTCGAAATCTTTTCGCTGACGACAACGAAACTCCTCCTGAACCTGCAATTAAATCTTCCGGATTCTCAGAAAATAAAACCGGGACGTCCAGTGACCAATCCGGATCCTTTGAGTCTGTAACCGGATCCCCTTTTCCAAAGTTGGTTGGGAAAAAACTTGAGATCTACAAAGTTGGACATCCCTCTTCTCCGACATCAATCCCTAGTAGATCAGAATCCGCCGGAACCCCTCTCTCTATAACCCTGATATCCGGCCGCAAAGCTGGGAGACGTGAATCCTGGATAACTTCTAACTCAAAGGTTTGTTGTAACTATATCCCCCCTTTTAGCAAGGGAGATCAAGACGTTTCTGACATGGTCAATTAAACTAATTTTGACAAAAGTTGATGAATAATAACAGCCCTGACACAATAAAATTGAATTTTATAAATCTAAAATGCAAAGAAGTTGATTGGTTTAGGGGGGGGGGGGGTGAAAACAACAATCCCTTGAAATGTTATATTTTCTGTGAAATATTTAATTATTTTTGTTGATTAGTCTGAGTCCCCTGAGCCAGCACAGCCAAGCAGAATATCTGGAAGTCGGGAAGAGGTAAATAAAAAAAATATTTTTTATTAAAATTACAAATTTCCTATAATCCGTAATAACACATTTATGATTATAATTACTTCCAGCCATTTTTATGCTTGTCTCAAACGTTTCTTCTTATTTCTCATTTGCCGTAATCTTTCTTCACCTGCTGATTTTTCATGTTTCCTTACGTTGGCCATTTCTCTGCTCTTTTCATTTACATTACATTTTATTTTTTCCTTGAAGTCGTCTTATATTTTCCATTATTTCTATTTTTCAATTTAAATTGGAACAAATAATTGCAAATTAGTAACTAACCCTTAAATAATAATAAAAAAATACTAACCGTCAAAATTAANCCCCCCCCCCCCCGACCCACACTGGCTCCTTAGTCTTTAATTTAAAGTTTTAATTATTTAGCAACACAAGTTTCCTCAAAACATTGGGCCCTCTTACTCCGACAACGGTGGTCTAAGATGGTATTAAGTTGCGTAAAACATGTGAATTTATATGGGCACGGACCTTCGATGGCAGTCCGAATCCCTTAAATTTATATAACAAACTACACGCAAAGGTTTTTTTCAATGGCAGTCCGAATCCCTCAAATTAAATTACAAATTACACGCAAAGGATTCTCAATGGCAGTCCGAATCCCTGAAATTAAATTACAAATTACACGCAAAAGTTTTTTCAATGACAGTTCGAATCCTTTAAATTAAATTACAAATTACACGCAAATGGTTCTCAATGACAGTCTGGATCCCTCATTTTAAATTTCAAATCACACGCGAAGGGTGTTCAAAATCAATTTTAGTTAATAGTCTGATCAGCTAGAATTTAAAAAATTCGAATATTGAAAATAGGAAAATAAGTAAAAAAACTTGTGTTTAGAATGAGAATGGACAGTTTGGTGAGATCACCCTTGAACCGGATACCGGATATGATAGTCCAGTTTCTGACGATTCGGCGGATGAACATTCGGTTCATTCAAAAGTTAAGGTACATTGGATCCGTCCTCTCTTGGTTCTTCCGGAGCCCACGGCAGCGCCTCCCCCCCCCACTCCCACCCCTTTAAAAATGGACAAATATACTTACCTTTTTAGTTTAGAGAGGGATTGGGGGCGCGGAAAGCCCCTCCCCCCCCCCTTTAAAATGGACAAATATACTTACCATTCTAGTCTAGGGAGGGGTTGGGCCTGGGGGCGCGGTAAGCTCCCTCCCCTTTAAAAATGGACAAAGATACTTACCATTCTAGTCTAGGGATTGGTTGGGGGCGTGGGAAGCCCTCCCCCCCCCAGGCTACACAATAATCAGGTCCCCGAGCCTTTAGAGGGTTATTCATCCAAAACGTTTCTGATGTCTTACGTCATTTTAAACACATCCCTAACCAACAATTTTTTCAAACTTTGAGATTGTTATAATATTTTTCTTTACACCATTAATACGTCACATTAGCATGTCAACCAAATCCCATCCACATCTTTTTTGGTTCTTGTCGTTGGGCGGTCTTGTCTCTCAAACTAATCACATACATTTGATTAATTGATTGATTGGTTGATTGATTGATTTTATTTTCAGGAAGAGACTGAAATGCCAAGAAAAGTTCTCCCATCATCTCTTTTGAAAATAAATACAACGGACAAAAGCATGCCAAGCTCTTCTAGTTCAAACAGTACAAATAGTTTATTAAGTACAAACTGCTCTCAAAGTACAAACAGTTTAAGAACAGTGATTAAGATACAAAATGACGCGAAAAAAAGAAAAATATTGCCTCTACCAGAAAACATTAATAATAGAAAAACAAAGGTGAGTTAGATTGTTTCTTCTTAAAGAGACTAAACTTGTATTTCTAATTGATCCTTCATAAAAAGATGGCAATGTCCAATTTACAAAGGCACCCTGAAAAGCTTTGCCTTTTCACTGAGTGTTCATATCAATGTTTATAATTTATAAACAGATTATTTTCAATAGTGGTGGCGCATTCCTACTGCAGGATAATAAACATAAATTGAGATCGGACATTCCTATCAATCATTGCATAGAGCATCACTTAAAATTACGTGTACAGCCCCTTTAAATGGGTTTAGCTGGAGACTTTGAAGGTACCAGTAGAAACGTGGGATGGTACAAACCTAAGATTTACAAACGTCGGACTGTACAAACTTCGGACCAGTACAATCGTCGGACGTGTACAACTTTCGGACTGGTACAAATGTCGGACAGTACAAACGTCATACCAGTACATACGCCAGACCAGGACAAACGTCGGACTAAGGAAAAAGATTTATTTGAATTTTTAGATTTTTTTATTAAAAAGTTATTTTTTTTCGTCTAATGTACTAATTAAAATCTACTGAAAGGAACTAAGTTCTCGCAACTAACTCGGATATTCTCATCCCTTTATCTTATTAACCTTTCATACTTTCAAACTTAAACTGTTTGATCTTATATATTTTGTAGGTTGAAATATCGAAGATCTACAACATCGGGTTTCAAAGATATAGGCATTGAAACATCAGAGTTTGTGGCCAGAACTCAACTCCATTTTGTTCTGATGTTTATACAGTGCTACGTTAAAAGGGTTGAAACTTTATTCAGATATCTTTGATTTTTATCAAAATAAGCGAGTGATTTTTAATTTATTTCTTGTAGCAATGTTTTTTTTTTTCAAACTCAACCAAATTTCTGAGATTTTTCCTTATAAATGTACCCGTCCGACGTTTGTACTATTCTGACATTTGTCCCAGTCTGACGTTTGTACTGTCCGACCTTTGTACCGTCTGACGTTTGTACTAGTACCTTTAAGTTTAAATCAACTAATTGGTCTAACCTCGTAACTTATCATTGTGCTGTGATAATGAGTGTCATTGGATTAATTGATCTCTTAATTAACGTTTTTACCAATCAAAGATTGATTAAACTTCAATGATATTTTATTGGTAACATTTTGATATTGGTTAATTTTACCTAAACGAGAGAATGGGTTTGATCTTATTCGGTCCATTCAGAAGTAAACAGTCTTATGTATTCTGTCTTGAGATCTATAATATTAAAAAAATTAACATTTTTTGGTGACACATTGACCCGATTTAAAAATAAGCGAGACATGGTTGAACCTAGGAGACTTTGTTATACCACTTCTCTTTAGTTTTTAACAGCACAATAACGAAGTGGTTCAACTTTGTCTATAGTGGTTCAACCACCTTTTGATATTTATATGTTTACTGTTCTAATAAGTTCGCCATTATTTAGGGGTATATTTTTTTGGTAAATCACCAATAATTGGGTTTCCTCCATGAATAATTGAATTGGGTTAAAAATATCATTAATGGGAAAATGATTGCTAATTAAGTCCAATGTTAAAATTAATCCCCATATCTTTGAACAATGAACATCATATCCGGTTCCTTAAGATATTTAGTTATACACCACTGCCATTAGTTTTAAATTAAAGAACATTTTCTATTTGAGGTTGATGAAAACCCAACCAGCAATAAAATCCGCCAAGTAGATGTCAGGATTAATCGTCTTTCTTTGCACGATAAACGAATATCATTGGACGATAGACGAACACCGGACACAGACGAAGACAAATCAAAACTTGAGGTAGAACGAGAATTGATAAACGGATCAGACAAATCTCCTACGATCCCACCTATGATCCCAACTCCAGAAATTGTGCCGTCGATACCAACACATGATTCTTTCAATACTACGAAACGTGACACTGCCATAGAACCTGACGCTACGATGAATCCCGGCTCTCCAATGGAACCTGAAACTCTTCTGAATCCCGTAACACAAGACGTTGGCATCCTGGATGAATCAGTCCCTGAGTTATCGCAGCAAATCATTGCATCCAGAAGTAGACGGGAAACTAGAAATAAGGTTCCGATCAGGTAAAGGATATACAAGGGAACTGAATATATTTTTTAACTAAAGATTATCAAAATGGTTATTCATCTTCCTTCTGCAGGAATCAAGTGAATCAACAAATTATTAATGATTATTAAAATTGTCTTTTATATTTTTAAAGAAACTTGCAATTCCTTCAAACTTAATCAACGTAACTTTCTATTGGTTTTAAAAAAGTCTGTCTATTATTCTATCCCCCCCCCCCCATGTATGGATTTAGATTGATTTAGACTATTTATATTGTTTTTGAAGAGGGCTCAGCCTAGATTTCTACGGAATGAATGTTGATGTTTATTTATTTATTTATTGTTAAATAAGCTGATGAGTTTAAGTGAAAGAAGTTTTTCTCTAAATAAATCTAAAACTAAACATTTTCTCCTGATTAGATACGCATCTAGTAGCGACGAAGAAGATCCACGGATTGTCTCTGCAAAAAAACGGAACACGTCACCACGGTTAACTAAGCCCCCGAGTGGCTCCAAGTCTCCTAAGTCCTTAGAACCTGCCCCTAAGTCCCCTGACCCTGTTGTAGATATTGCACTTGAGACGATTACGGAAGGTGATGGAACAAAGAAACGGAAGAGAACTGAACCCTCAGATTCTTCTGATTCCTCGGAACTCAGGAAAAAAATCAAATCTGGGGTTTCCATCCTAAATTTTGATTTGGACTCGAGGAATGCTGAAGATATTGAAAAAGAAAGAAATACGAATGAACCTGACAATGCAAAGGAAGTTATGATGGAGAAAGAGATTGACGAAGAAGAAACTATAAATGGACGTAACAAAAATACTAATTACAATGAACAGCTGAATGAAGTTGGAGACTCAATGAACGTGGATTTAGGAAGCAATGAAATTTCACTTGAATCCTGTTTAAGAATCGATGAAGGAAAAGAGACTGCAAATAAAGAAGACAGTGTTGCCTCTAGCAAACCTGTAACACCACCTCAAAAAAAAATTGAATCTAATTTAGATAGAAACTTGGACGACATGAATAATCAGGTATTTGTTTCAAATCAAAAATTTTAAAACGTTGGGAGAAAAAATGCTGTTTTTTAGAGATTTAGCAAATAAAAATGATGGGAAAGGGAGTCATGAAAAAAGCTTGTTTAAATGAGTTGGTATTAAAACAGAAATTATTAAGACAAATAAAATAATATTTGACCAGAGATGGAATTTAGAGAATTTGAGCCGCGGTTTAAATCTGCCAAACCCCGGTTTAAATTAAGCGCCGGCTTAAATCTTGAAACATTTGATACAATTTTAAGTCGAACCAACCATATTTAAGCCGCGGCTTAAATTTAAACCGCCGCTCAAATTCTTTAAATTCGGCCACAGTAGTTGTAAATTTCCTTTACAGTCCCTTTAAATAGCAGATTTAAGGAAAACTAACATATAACTATTTTGAAAATTAAATTTTGTCTTTTCTTATCTCAACTGTTTAGTATGAGGCCAAAGAGTTGGAGCCTCAAGAGAAATTAGTATGTGCTTCTGTAGATCCCAGGAATCAGGGCCAAAATGAAAATATTCCAGAGATCCCGGCAAGGAAAGATTTGAGACTAGCATCCCCAGGGCTGTTCTCTGATTTTGTGAACCCAGGTCAAGCAGGGCCAGATAAAATCAGTCTTGATCTCAATTTGACAGAGGACGAAATACGAAGTCTTCCAGTCGATATATTCACCAGAAAACCAGATGATCAGGATACATTCGGCAGAGAGATGGAAGAGCTGATTAATGGAACAGAGCCTGTTAAAGATCTTGTTGCCTCAAAATCAATAAGTGAGATTCAGAAAGAATTGGAGGGATTTGGACAGAAGGATCCCATGCCCATGTTGATTCCTAACTGGAATTCATCCCGCTACTCCCAAGGAGATCATCTTTCAGGACAATCTAACCCTCAAATTGGGATACCATCACCTTCTGCATTAGTTCCAACCCGTGTTTCAACTCAAGTACCCTCACATGGAAACCATTCTTTACCTCATGTAATCACTGGAAGCCCTCTAAAGACTGGTTCAAGACTGATTAAAATCAGTGAATTATCAAATATTCAGCGTTTAACCAATCCAGAGGTTCAGGCAGATGGACAAGAACACCGAGCTCAAATTAAGATCTTGAATCCGACAAAGCTGAACCTGAAGGCTTCGCAGGTTCACAACAACAGAGTTTTTTCCCCAAAGGAGCGAATTTCTGTTGCTAGACGTCCTTCAATGGAGCTTCCACTACGTCAGTTCCAGGTTGCCGGAGCAGATTCATCAAACAGATTTATTAGAGTCTCAACACAGCTCCGGTACTCGAATCCATCAATCTTAGGAACCTCTATTAAAACACTGCCTGAAGCCAACAATGTAACAACTAACACCTTGTCTGGGACTTCTACTAACTCTTCATCTATATCAGCTACTGAGTATTTATATCCATTAAATGCCAAGTTACAGTCTGTTGTTTCAGTTCCCAACCCAACCCAGGTTCTTTCATCACAGCATAACTCAACACAGCCAACCACAGCCCATCAGCAGGTTATGAATCCTGTAAATATTCAACAACTTGTAAATCAAGAAACAATACAGCATAGGTCTGATCCTTCGTACTTAATACGCCAAACTTCAGTACCCTCTCCCTCATACCAAACTACTACGATGCATCATCCAAACCAGCCTCAAACAGCTTCTTTACCTACATCACAAACTCAATTTCCAAATCATACAAACAGTATTGGTGTCCAGCAGTATGCAGTACAGGCACGACCCCCTCTGCCTACGCCCCAATCCAATATTAGAGTACAAACAACACTAGAAAATGTGCAGCGAATCCACGTTAATAGTTACCAAGCTACTGAAGGAAATTTTTATGTTCAGGGTTCCCCAGTTCCCCGGTCTGTTCATTCTGTCGTTCTATCCTCTGGATTTGGAGGCCAAGGTCAATTACAAGAAGGTCTTAATAGCAATGTTACACACATAAATGGACCTGCACACTATCGTGTTAGTACGGGAAACGGCCAAATTACTCCAGTATCGGGTTCATTTTCAGTATCTCAACCTCTCCCAACGCCTATAAATGTCCGACCTATTGGGGATCTCGGTCATCCTCTGGCTTCCTCCCAACCTACTAGAGCACCTCAACCCTCCTCTGCAGTCATGCCTGAAGCTATTCGTCCCCTTGCAGGAGCGCAACCACAAAGGTTGAAAATCCGAGGAGGAACGGTAAGATTGCCTGGAGGTGTTCGAGCACCTCGAATTCCTGGACAAGAGAACCAGAGAATGGGGATGGTCAGAGGTGGGCCATGGCCTAGAATGAGATCACAAGGACCAAGGCCTGCTGGAAGGTTTCCTAGACCACCAGGCCCTCCTCCAACCCAACCTTCTTTAGGACCACGGCCTCCAATAGGTTCTCCTGCTGGAGAAGGAATCCCTCGATCTCCAGCTCGTCATCAGTCTCCTCGCCCATCCTCTCACCAGAATACAACCCCACCTAAACCAGCCAAATCTCCTCCAAGTGTTATCAAAATAGAAGACGATGAACCTGAAATAATTGAGTTAATAGATGAACCACCAACTCCGTTGAAGAGTGCTACAATCGATCGTCTGAAGGCTGGTGGGATCTCAGTAACCCGGCAAGCACCTCCTAAGATACCGAAAGGTCTAAAACTCCCACCAGGTTGGTTTATATTTAAACATATGAATAATGAATATGTCAATTTGCACTTATCATTTTTGGGTATTCTAATCAAAAATGTCAGTTAAATTTACATCAGTCTCTTCATTTAGAGTTTCCAATTTTTTTCCGGGTAAATTTGGTTCCGTAAAGGCCCTAAGGAACCTTTCTAACGCTGTTAAGAATGATAAACCATTAAAACCTATTGTAAATTACCTGAACTAGGATTAAATTTACCTCCTAGATACTGAACAGAGGTAAAAAACAAGTTTAAAGGAAGAGTTTTTCCATTAGGAGAAATCGTAACCATGGACGTTTTTCAACATGTCTTACTAGCTTTGTGTAACATCTTGGGGGGGGGGCTAGATATATTTGAAAATTGGTTAAGAAAATTTCATGATTGATTTCTAAAAGTTTTTAATTGTTTTTCATTCTTTACTGGTTAAGAGCTTTACGAAACCAAATTAATCCGGAAACAAATTGGAAACCCTATCTTCACTTAAATAACTTTGCTAGAGGATCTACGATTGAAAATCAGTTAATGGTTTAAATAGGATGTCGTGATTTGGCCATGGCCATTTTACAAATGGAGAGTCCCTTGAAATTGAAATTATGTTACAGAGTCCCTGACACAGATTTATTGATTTTAGGTATATCTTTATCCCCTGCTGGCAGTCATGACGGCAGAGGGCGGAGCAGCGGCAGTTCAGAAGGTCGAAGGGGTGGGGGAGAGTCTAGAATTAGGCGGGAGTTAAACCCACCACTGAGTCGAGAAAAGGAAAGTACTCCACAGAAAAAAGTTCAAGTTGAACTTTCCGAGGAACAATATGAAAAACTGAAATCAATGGGTGTTCTCAATTAAATATTGCTTGAAGAGAGCTTTTTAATGTTTATTTCTATTTGGTTTTGTGTACATAGGTTGGACGGTTTAAATTTATGTAAATTATATACATTTCAGTGAAATTTGTGATATTTGCATATGTTTTGAAAACTGAGAAATGATTTACATCTGATCCGCGGGTAGACTTAATATTTCCTCCTACTAAATCAATTACCATTTACCATTTTTATTTTTCAAACAAAGGAGATTGCAAATTTAACTTTTTGTTTAATCATAAAACAAAACAAGTAATTTAGGAACTTTAACAATTAAAAATACATTATTCTTCCATCAATTTATTCAATAAAGATGTTTTCCTCATTTTGTTTGAATTTTCTTATGTTGATATTTTTTTTAAAGCGAGATTTAAAATAGTAATGGATAAGTTATTTTAGTCATAACGGTCAAAATTTCAGAATCATCATAATCGCAATAAACGAATAACGCAATCTGGTCGATCAACTTTCGGTATTTGATCATCTTCGTATTTTTTTAGCGCGTCGGTCTTAAAAAAAGTTTTACCCCCTCTCCACCCATACCTCATACAGGCTAGCTGAAAAACTCACTTTGAGTTAGGCGTGTTGGACGTTGGTGTAGGACGTTCCTAACAATCTTGATTTGATTTGATTTGATTTGATTTGATTTGATTTGATTTGATTTGATTTGATTTGATTTGAGAAATTCTACAAATTTGAAAATTGTTTATTTCAAACATTTGCTATTCTTACAGTACGACAAATTTAGACCCTGAGAGAAAATATATGCTAAAAACAAATCAAAGTCGATTGTCGATTGTTCCCTTTATATTTTCACTTCAGATTAAAATATTGAACAGTTTAAAAAAGCTAATTACTGGTAATGTTAAAAGTTTTAATTAAGAAGTTTTCAGAAAACTAACCAAACCGAGTAACAACTCCTTACAGTAATAACCAGAAAACTGTAGAATGGAATGGCGACATTAAAGCATTACTAAAGTACATTTGATGTTGTTTCATCATTCACTAATAGCTTTGCTAGAAAGTAATTAAATCACTTATTAGGTTCAATGAGTCTGTTTACACTGCACAATTACCGTGTCTAGTGTTAATTGCACTATTTGAAGTTATAAACTGAGTTTCAAAGTCAACTTCATATTTTATGGTTATCACTGTACTGAATTGTAACAAGAATTAAATAGTCACCATTACAATTTATGGGTCCTCTCTTCATTCCCATTTTCAGGGTCATTCACAAAGAATGAGACTGTATATATCCGACCTAAAACTCTTTAATATGACAATTCCTAGGTTAATTTAAGTGTTCTACCTTGAATATAGTCTTTAAAAGCGTATTTAAAAATCATTCAGCAAACAGAGAAACAAGGTTATTTACAGTTGCAAGAAATATTGAATGTAAGGAAACGGTCGGTTTAAATTCCGTATAGTCGTCTCTGAAGTCGCATTCTTTGTGAGCTACTCTGTTTATAAATATAGTCTCGTGCTTGGATATATGGAAGACGACCTTTTTACACATCAAACATTTCTGATCTTAACTTTTTTCTCCCCCCTCCTCCTCCCCCAGTTATACTTATAAAATGTCAAAGTAGATGATTGAACTGCAAATTTGAAGTTATAGTTTATGACTGCGAAATATCTCCGGGTTTCCTGAACATGAGTATACTAGAGATGGCAACGTTTTTATTTTTCTAGATTTTAGCTTTCGTTACTATAGTGTTTATCAAAAGTATAAACGTTACGTTGCACAGTATGACATTTTATGACATAGAGTAAACGTAACGTAATGCATTTTCTGCACTTAAATACCTTATACAAAGTTAAGCTTTAGTAAATGTTATGGAAACAACAGTAAGCTCCGTTACGCTTTTCCCTTTCTTGTTTTAAAAAACTTTCCCAACGTTGCGTTAAAGCTTAAGTAATATAACCACAATTTTCCAACGTTTCAATTTCATTCAATGTAAATGTTTTCAGAGACTTTACGTTACACTTTCAATTGGTTTAAAAACTAAAAGGTGACGAAAGTTTTGCCTTAAAACGTCATAAGGGCATAGTTCTGCACGTTGCAATGTATTTTAGTGCAAAAATATTTTTTGTTAACGTTACGTTTTATCTTGACTTTTCCAATAAAACTATTTTAATTACATTTAGGAACTTTACTAAACTGCAACTTTTCTTACGTTACGGTTTATTGAAACGTTATTGTGATAACTTTTTAGTTACACTATTTTACAACTGGCAATCAAAACTGTTCATTCGTTTCTAAGAAAGACATGAATTAAAAGATGTTCTTTACGTTACGTTGTATTAAAACGTTCAGGCCTTGACGTTTCTTAATTTACACTTTAACAAAAAATAATATTGGTTCTAAATGTAAGCATTTCAAGATTTTTTCCGTGATAATTGTATTCCTACTTTCGTATTTAAATTAGTGTCGTTAATCCCTTTTAAACTCACTCTGTATGAATGTTGTTGTCGCATTTTTAACCATTTTAGAGAATGTGTTACACAGTGGCGTACATAGGGGGGGCAGTAGTCCTCTTGCCCCCCCCTGGGAGTTCCAGGGGGGCCCTGCCCCCCCCCTGGAAAATACAAAATTAAAAGGAAACAAATTTAAAAAGTAACACCTGACAATGACAAAGACTAAGGATTTGTCTAAATTCACTGTTAACACAAAATTTTAAGAAACTTTAAACTAAAACTTTTGCAAAAACAAGACCTCGGCATATTAGATGCCTATAACATGATGGAAGATGTAATAAAGGTATTCTATTTTCTATTTTTCTATTTTTTCTTACAGTCAATTTATAAAGGAATTGAGTCTTTGGCACAAACTCAAATATGTAACCTTTGGAATCTGATGTTGTACACCTTAGATATTTCAAATTCAGATATTTGATCTAACAGAATTCATAGTTTGAAATATCTAAGGTCTACAACCATAGTTAAAGATATATTGCTCATAAGACGACATTTGTCATCTTAAAAGATATAAATGAGATGTTTAAAAGATATTCCTATTATATAGATTAACTAGGTCGGTTGTGAACATTGGCTGTTGTTTTGTCATTGAGTACTTGTGGTGTACATGAGTTCTGTAGTGAGAAATTTAAGTTAGTTTAGTCCTTTTCATGCCCTTCTTCAGTTCTCGTCAATATGATATATTGCTCATTGAAATATTGTAGTTCAAATAGTTTCATTCCCGGAGTTATTTTACACTCTATTCGGGAGGAATGGTTAAAACTAGTAGATTGGAAAAGACCCAATCCGAATGTTATCTGCAACGAACATTTTCCTAGTTATATAAAAGTGAATGGGAAAAAGTTCAAAAGCTAAAGAAAATGA